TGCTCCAGATTATTTTTACCTGTGGGACTTAACTCCATTTCCAAGTTAAGTCACTAGATTAGAGGTCGTACAGGATTTGTGTTAGGACCTTTGCTGTTCTAGTCCAACTCAAAGCAGGATGGTGTTGCTTACCTGTGAATACCTCTCTTCCAGGAGTTTGATTTAAGTAAGAAATCTATTTAAGTAGACAGGGAGACAGTTCCAAATTGCTAACAACTTAACAATCTCGTTCAAACATGAGTAAGTTTCCTTATTTATATAAAACTTCCTACTAAAATTGTCTTTCATTACTAATTCTAACATGCAAATTACCTGTTTTATCATTGCATAAAATAAACACTCATGTGATGGGTAAAAATAAAAAAAGGAAGAAGTGTGTGAATCAGCATGAGGGGATTCTCACTTGAGTTCACTTTTTGCAAAACAGAGATTAAATTTTTGAAAATTCATGCAATCACACTCTCAACCAAAACTGGACCTGAGTGCCTACCTTGGGCATGGCTTTCTCTGAGAAGCCTTGCCAGACTTCCTGCCGAGGATCCAGTCCTTTCCACAAACTCTGTGGCACCCTCTCCCAGCCTGCTCGTTCTCTTAGCCCTTATCCCACATTTGTCATTGCTGATCTCTTCCACTCGATCCCGAACTCAACAAGGGGCTGGGATCGTGTCGTCTCTTTCATCACTGACTTCCCGTTTAGTTTTCAACTCGGTCATGGCACAGAGTAAGCATTCGGTGACAGTCACCGAGTGATTAATCCAATGACATAGCAGTTGCTGTCATTTAATGAGTACTTATGTGCCAGGCACAGTGCTGCAAAGTTGACAATTCCTGTATGGTCTTAAATGATCTTACAATAAACTCCGATTTTCCCCAAACTCCTATTAAGAGCCAAAGCCAGTTAACTGCCTCACCCAAGGGGAAACACTGCTTGTAACTAGAAACCCAGACTGTCTTTCTCCAGAAGGCCTACCACACAGAAGGACCTACGCAGCAACTCAGAGGAGAGCCAGACATCTGCCACATAAGCCCCATCTGCTCACTCTCTCATGTGTCTCACGAACAGTCCACACCCTGATCTTCGAATGTGCTTCTTCCTTCCAACTTCCCTAAGGCCCCCCCATCTCCCCACCCTCTTCCAAGTCCAACTCAAGCCTCCCTTCCTCCAGGGAGCCTTCTCCAAGCCCTCCAATCCTAACTGCTTGCCCCCACAGAACTCACTGGCTGAACAATCATCCAAAAATTAATAACAATGGTTCACATTAATGAAGCACTTACTATGTACCAGGCACTGCACTAGGCACTTCATATATATTATCTCATTTTAATTTTCACAATAATCCTATAAGATTGGTATAATTATTTCCATTTTACAATGAGGAAACTGAAATGTACAAAGATTAAGTAATTTTTCCGTGTAGAAGGGAGGGACGGCTGCAGGACTGAAACCTTATTCTGGATGGCTCTGGGGGCTAGGGCTCACTCTTGTGCACTGTTTAATTTTTAGCTTGTGTATTTGTTTCGTCTCCCAAATTAGACTGTAAGCATTGTGAGCAAGGACGCAGGTATACCGTTTCCTCTGCGCTGTGCCACGCTTTCATGGTGGGCTCATAAAACATTAGCTGAATGACTAAAGGATGAAAAGTTTGAGATCCCATCAGAAAAGAATACACTCAAGAAGACACTACATATGTATGATTTGAGGTTTTAATTCCCAGGACAGAAGAGCTTTTAAAAAACTGCCAGTCCCAACAATCATCAACTCTTAACTGTAATTTGAAAAGAAAAGATGCAAATTCTGAAGGATGACTTCCACTGAATTAACCAGTTAAAGTAGATAAAACTTTCTTCTTTATCCTCTTGGGATAAATCTGCCCTCAAAGGATGAAACTGGCTGAAATTTAGAAAGAACCAGCTCCTGGCAGATTACCTAGGACAGACGAGGCCCTCAACAAATATTTAATTGTACTAAATGGAAAGTGTTTTACTCGTACTTTGGAGAAACTGTGCTAACATGATCTAGTCCAACCTAGGAACTAACTACAAGATTTCACTCTTATGACATGTGGCAACAGGCTAACAAAATGGATTCACTGCAAACTTACTGGCCAATCATTTTTATTCTGAGGGAAGACTCACTTCTGAAAAGGAAAGCAAGAGTTACGTTACAGTTTTTGTTTTTGATCAAGGTATGAATTTCTCTTCTAAACTCAAAATGTAATCGGTCAGCTCAATAACACATTTTCAAGTACTAATCTTGAAAATCTTATATATTTTTTTCCTTTTACTAGTTAACAGGAAGTAAGAAGAAACTATTAATTAAACAATAAGGAAAACTCTACATGTAAACCTCATTTAAATGAATTATGTTTATCTGGTCAACCCTAAAGAAAACATTTGAAGATTTGAAGGCTGAACCACAATTGTACAAAGAAACCTATAAAGTAATAATATCAAAGTGGCTGAAAACAGTGACACTTCAGGTCATGTCAGCACCTGCACATAGGATAAAGTCCCACCTCTGAAAAATCCAGATAATTATGTTAATTGCAATACTGTATCAGAAAATGCTAATTGGGCATACAAATTAAAAGGAGAGAAAAGCTAATGAAATGAACTGATGAATGATAAAAGCAGTTTACAGAAGAAAATGCAAGGCAAATAAACAGAACTGAAAAAAATGGAAACCAGTCTTCGGCTAGGCAAAAACATTCTTCAAATACCACAAGAATGGCTTATTTATCGTTATGTATGAGTTCATTCCCAAGAGAGAATGTAAAAAGGAAAAAGTTTGCCAAATTTTTTCTGATTTAACCTATCAAGGTAAACTGGAAGGTATCACAGCTGAAAACATTAACTCTAATCAAATAAAAACATTAGTTTTCTAAATGCTATGGATCAGTTACTAGGACTAGATGAATATAATCCACTCTTAATTTTTTCTCACCTCAGCAAAGTAAAGAAGCCGGATATTACAGAGCCAGAGTCAGACAATTTACATGGGTAATTTGGTAGCATATACAGTTATAAAAAGATAATGAGGACAGAAAACACAAGCCTCGGGATAAAAATTAGTCTTTACTGGGAGAGTATGAAAGCTATCTTTCTTTTTCTAAGTACTTACTTTGGTAAATAAATATCAACCTGATAGGTAAAGGATGTAAATAATGTAATATATTTTTTATTCCCAATTATCTCAGTATTAACCTGTACTCAATGTTAACATTAAGGGATTTTAAGTTAAAGAATAATATAAAATGTAAATGCCGCTGTTTTTGTAAATTTCGGTTAAATTCTTTTAACATAAAGTTGCTGTAGATTGTGTACAAGAAGGGAAAATTAAAAATTGTCCTAAAGTCTAAAACTGTCATCTCCATGTGTAGTACTGCTCTTCATTCATGAAAACCCTCTCTTTGATTTGATACACGTTTTCCCAAGAACTTGTGGTAGAGCTTAAATGATTTTTAAGCATTTCCCACGTATCACTTAAAATAACAATTGTACTAAAGTTTTGTTTTCATATTTAATTTTAAAAATCCATTTTATTTGTATCTGACCATAAAAACGGTTCTATTGCAGCTGGCTTTTTTTTTTTTTTTTTTTTTAAGTTGGGTGGATTTCAAGGTGCTATATCACACAGTCTAAACACAGAAAATGACATTTTTTAAATTAGCGAAGTACTGGTTTCTTCCACAGGATGCGTTTTCCAATTTGGGCAACTCTCCCTGAGTAGAGAGAAACAACCAAAGTAAAGCAAACTAGACCTCTTATTATGAAAACAGAGCAAGGCATTTTCTTTTCCTTCTCTTCTGTTAGTGTCTTCGGGTATTTGAATGTCTCTCTGTGCGGGTGTCTAAAACCCTCAAGCGAGAGGGTCCAGGAAGAGAAGACAAGAAAGGAAACAGGGTCTCGCTGCTCTGCCGGGGGCTCGGAAGGGTCTAGACCCTACTCGACCAGACCCCTCCAAGCTCCCACTTCACAACAATCAATACCGGGCAGCTGAGTTCGGCCGTGAGGCCTGCGGAGGCAAAGCCCGCAGGATTACGAAACGGGGTCTAGAGGGCTGCCCCCTCCCAGAGGCGCCCCCCCCACCCCAGCAGGGGCACACCTTCCTGCCACCCCACCTCCCAAAGTCAACACAACACCAAGCCAAACCCAAGCCGCAGCCAAGTCTGGCCATTTCTTTTGTCCTGCTCCACGCCGGCCACCTTTTATCCGGAGCAGCTTAACGGTCCGGGAGGCCGGGGGTGCGCCCTGCGGCCCCGCCAGGTGCTCCCGACCACCGTCCCCCTCCGGGAGTCAGGCGACGCCCGCCCCGGCCCGGAGCGCCTGTGCCGCCGGGGCACCCCCGCCCACCCTCCCGCGGACGCACAGGGGCCCGCGGCGGCCCGGGGCGGGACGGCGAGGAGGGGGCCTGCTCCGAGCCAGGCCCGAGGCCCCGGAGCGCCCGCCCCGGCCTCGCCCCTCCGCGGGAACCGGGCCGCCGGGGCCCAGGCCGAGGCCGCCGGGAACGCAGGCCGCCGCATCCCCGGCCTGTCGTGAACCCGCTGCCCGCGGCCTTACCGCCTCCACGGCGTGCTGCAGGATGGAGGTGAACTTGGAGAACATCTTGTCCCGGGACTGCAGCAGCCTCTCCCGGGACGACCTGGAGAGCTCCTCGATCCGCCGCCGCCGCCCCTGCTGCGGCTGCCGGGGCGGCTCCAGAGTGAAGGCCGGTGCGGGGCGGGGAGGACGGGCAGAGGGCCGAGGCGGGCTCGGGCGCGGCCGCCTCGGGGGTGCGCGGGCGGCGCGGCGGCTCCGGCGGGCGCTGGGACGCGGCGGGCGGCGAGGAGGGCGTTCGGCTCGGACTCGGGACCCCGCGACGCTCCGGCGGCGGCTGAGGCTCCGGTTCGGACACGGTGGCAGCCCGGCTCGGGTTCCTTCCGCCCGCTCTGCCCGCCGCGGCCTGCAGGGGGCGCCGCCGCGGCCCGCGGAGGCCCCGACCTGGCCTGCCCAGCGGCGGGGCGGCTGGACGCCGCGGGGGCGGGAGAAGCGGCGCCGAGAGGCCGCAGCCGGCGGGGGGCGGGAACCCGAGGGGTGCGGGCGCCGCCCTCTCCCTGCTCGCGCGCGCCTCGGACACGGTCGTCTCACGTCTGAAAAATTCAGCCAGCTTCCCAGTTTTGTTTCTGCGGGGGCAGTAGCAGGCCGATGTTGGAGGGAAACGTAGCCATATCTGTACATAATATTCCGAGGTTCGTCTTTTAAGGGCAGATTTGGGAGACTCGTAAGAAACAGTACAGTATTCCTAAGGCAAAAATGGTCCGTGCATTTAAATGCTAAGAATTAGAACAAATCAATTAATGTTGGTGAAATGGCTTTGCTAACTGCAAAATATATTATTAATTGTTAATTATTCACCATTAAAACAGGAAGCCCCAAATGGACAAATAGTAAGATGGTTCAGTCAATAGTTTGTAACTTGTTTGATAGGTGCAGGGCATTCAGTATTGTATTTTCTATTCTGTTTATCAGATGATACTGGAAAACAGAGAGGGAAAGAATCTGGAGGGATTCTGCTAAATGCATACGACAGGTGAGTGGGGCTACATTGTAAGTCCTTGGGCGGAGGCTTCTTAAAAACACTATGCAACAGTATATTCGCCAAACTTTGAAGAAGCACAGGGCGCCGTGGTAAATTTTAGGTTGGGTTGATACAAGTTATGAAAATGTTCATATCCTGGAGAACTTTGTGTTTGTTTTTGCTAGTATTGGTATTTTATCAAAAGGACCGTTAAGTTCTTGATAAGGTGAGCGTGGAGTAAGTTTTGCATAACTGGTGATGAAAACACGGATTTGTTGGGGCGCCTGGGTGGCTCAGATGGTTAAGCGTCTGCCTTCGGCTCAGGTCATGATCCCAGGGTGCTGGGATCGAGTCCCGCATCGGGTTCCCTGCTAGGCGGGGAGCCTGCTTCTCCCTCTGCCTCTGCTTCTCTCTCTCTCTCTGACTTTCATGAATAAATAAATAAATAAATAATTAAGAAAAAAAAAGAAAATGCGGATTTGTAATTGAGTTTGTTGAACAGAAAAAAAGCAGAAAAGTAGCAGCGGTGTGGAGTGGTAAGAGCTAGTCTCTGGAGGTGGGTAGTCTGAATTTAAATCCCTCTGCCCCTCACCGTGGCAAGTTTTTTAATCTCTTTGTGCTTTAGTTTTTTCATCTGTGAAATTGGGGAGAATAGCACCTACCGTGAGAGGTTGTGTGGAAATGTATTAACATATGTAAAATACTTTAACCATGTCCAGTCCATAGTAAGCAGTACATTGGCATTTGTTATTACCATTATTATTAGTAGTAATACTAGTATTTAACAAAATGGTAGAGCCAGAAGTCAAGGTTTAAGGAGGACACTTAAAAAAAAAAAAAAAAAAAGGATTGTATTTATTTATTTATTAGAGAGCAGGAGCAGGGGTAAAAGGAGAGGGAGAAGCAGACTCCCTGCTGAGCAGAGAGCCGGGTGCGGGGCTCCGTCCCAGGACCCTGGGTTCAGGACCTGAGCTGAAGGCAGATGCTCAACCGACTGAGCCACCCAGGAGCCCCAAGGAGGACACTTTAACTATAGATCTCCCCTGACCTTCAGTGGGGTTATGTCCCCATACCTCCACCATAAGTTGAAAATATCTTAAGTCGAAATGCATCTAATACACTTAACCTACAGAACATCATAGCTTAGTCTACCTGTCTACCTAAATGTGCTCAGGACAAATACTTAACATTAACATACAGATGGTCAGAATCATCTAACACAAAGCCTGTTACATAGTGGTGCTGAATACCTCATGTACTTTATTGAAAACTGTACTGAAAGTGACAATGAGTTTAAGTCCATCAGTTGTTTACCCTAGCGGCCCACGGGGAGCCTTGGAAGCTGCTGCCGCAGGGCATCGTGAGAGCACCCTTCGGCGTATCACTAGCCTGGGAACAGATCCAGTTCCAAGGACGGTGTCTACTCAATGCCTGTCGCTCTCACACCAGCATAAAGTCAAAAAAATCGTAAGTCAGACCATTGTAAACTGGGAACTGTCTGTAGTTTTGTCTTCTTTTCTCCTCTGTTTCTGTTGCTTATATCCTCGCAATGCAGGTAAATAAATGTGACTTTAATTTTCTGTGTACTAGTCTCCAGAATGCTGGAGACACCCTCTGTTGTTTGCTTAAAAATTGAAATGTGCCCTACCAAATTCTGGCTAATTGTGTCTGCTTCAACCAAGAGGACATATTTTTTATCATGCACACAGCTTGAGGTGGTTAGTCATATTATTAACCATAATTATTTTCCTGACCTAATAAATACATTTATGTGGCATTTTGTATTTTCATAATGCCTTACAACCACTAATTGTAAAAGAGGGTCTGTTTAACACAGGCTTATTGAGAGTTGTTTGCATTTGATGATGCCCGTCTTTGTATACTTATTATGAACATCATAAAAAATGTTTCGCTCAAGATTAATATCAATATTTAGGAAGATGATTCATCTCCCTGATATCTAGGTTCCAAGACATACAAGTTGGGCTAGAATTATAATTGAGCAGATACTCTTCTCATCCTAGAAAGTTTGTAGTGACACATGGGCAGGGTTGGACCTCCCACAACAAAGTGTGATTTGAGAAAGCATAATACAAGCTTCCCTGGCCTCCAAGCCACTTAGATATGAGAACCTGAAATTCCTCACTTAGCACTTTATTTTTTTATTCTGTTGACTTAAGTCAAAAAAGAAATTTAGTCCCCACTAAAAATTAAAATACCCTTGAGAGAGAATACATCAAATTCTATCATTCATTACACTTCAGAGTGAATGAGTTTGCTAAATCCTTTACTGAACAAAGTTTAATCAGCAAGGTCACAGAAAAATCCATAAAACTGAAACTCAGTTTGGATGAGGACAGAGAGTTAGATGATACCTACTTCCAAAGTTTGGCAGACTTCTGGTTAAATAGATAAGATTGAATTTAGCAACATTTCCTCCCTAAATGCTACTACAATTACAGTAAAGGGATTTCTCAGAGTATAAGCCCAAAAGGACAAGCAAATTAAGAGAGGAAATGGCAACAAAATTTTGAGAATTGGAAAGTAGTGGTAAAGGGAATAACTGATATGGTGCCTTAGGAAAGCTGAATCCTAAGGCAACAATTAAGAAAACTAAGATCCGAAGTGATATATTAATACATTTACAGAACCTTCTCAATGACTTTGAAGTCAGTAGCAATGAGTACCTCTGGAAATAGAGGTAAAAGTGGGACTGAAAATAGCAGGATGGATTGAAAGCTTGTTTAGAAGTAGATAGATCATCCCCGAGGTACAAGATTGGCTGACTTCCCCTTCTCCACCCTGGTTTCAGATTAGAGACTAATTCCAGGAAAGATCTGAGGCTTCATATTGTCAGGAAGGAAGAGGAGGATAAAGTTGATGTGGGAATGAAAGGCAAAAGAAAAAATTAAATTTCCTTACTGCCTACAGCCCATTGGCAAGCCCTTGAAACCTGTAGAGCGACCTTTCTCTGGGAGCTCAACTGCCTTGATGTTGACACTTTGCTAAGGGCAAAAGGCAACCTTAGCCTGACCTGGAGGATCCTGTAAGTCTTCTTTAAAATACAAAAATTCCTTTGGAGACTTCCTTTATCTCTACCCCCAAGTTACAGCCATCATCCTCCAAGCATGTGGCCCACTGATACACATCTGAAGGGTCTCATGACTGAGGGTTTACTAAACAGTAATAAATGACCTTTTCCTAACAATAGGTAGACCTCCAGGATCCTGTGAGTCTCCTTTAGTATATGAAAGTCCTTTTGGAAACCTCCCTTTGTCTTTACTTCCCCCACCTCCAAAGCCCCACCTCACAACCCCAGTGTAGCTCTTTTCTGCCCACAGGTCCTGTCCCTGTGCTTTAATAAAACCATCTTTTTGCACTGAAGACATCTCAAGAATTCTTTCTTGGCCATTGGCTCTCAATCCCAACCTTCAAATCACATCAAAGTGAAGGTAGATAATTGTGTATACTGAACACATCCCCAACCCTCATCCTCTTCTTGGCCCCCAGAATGAAAGCATCAGGCTGACCACCACCCTCCCTCCCCCCACAAGAAGATAGGTAGGGTCCTCTCTGGAGAATCTGATTAGTCTAAGAGAAAAGACGTAAAGGTACTGAAGAGGGAACCCATACAACACTACAGTGCAGCCTGTAGTTGACAAGCTTGTATGCATGCTTGGAGCGTCCACTGAGTTTTTTCATGCACCTCTCTTAAATGGGATCAGAGAGTCTGGGTCATCAACAATTTGAAAAAAGTTAATGATAGAGACCAAAAGAAAAGTCAGGACAAAAAAGAAACTTGGAAGGAACAATTAATTGCAGTTGATAGGAAGAGGTGGAGAAGAAAACTTAAAAACAATCATTAATATTCTCAGATAAAAGATATAGCATCTTTTAAAACAAGAATGGTATGCTATTTTAAAAAGCATTTAGGGTACAAAAAGGAAATCTTAGAAATCAAGAATATGATAACAGAAATGAAAAACAACGTAAAAAGGATAGAAAATAAATTTGAAATATTTTCTCTGAGACTAGGACAAAAATGATATAGGGATGAAAAATGGGAAAGTTTTTCAAAAATTAGAGTGCTGATCCAGGATCCAACATCTGAATAATTGGAGTGAACAGAGGGAGGAAATCATTGAACTAAAAATTCAATATAATTTTACAGATCTGAAAGACATGAATTTTCAATTAAATGCCAGAACTATGAATGAAAATAGACTCACTCTAGTGGATGTTACTGTGAAATTCAGAACACCGCGTTTAGAGAAGATCCTACACAGTTTCCAACGAGAGAAAAAAAGAAAAGTCCATACAGAGAATTAAGAATTACAACAGCATGGGAACTAAGAAGGCACTGGGGCAATGCCTTTACAATTCTGAAAATAATTTCAATCTAAAATTCTATACTAAGAAATTGTCAAGTATGAATATAAAATAAATCATTTCAGTTGTGCAGGGTATTGAAAATTTCTCCTACCTTGCACTCTCAAGAAGCTATCAGAAGACATGCTCCATGAAACCTCAGGGAGTAAACCAAAGGGAAAAGGGATAAAGGAATCAGATCAGAGGGCGCATCATCAGAAGGAGGTGAAGGAAATTCCTAGGGTGTTGGTGAAGCAGAATTCCAGGATAACTATGCATCAAGTTGGGACAGCCAACCAACCAGTCCAGACTGGCACAGGTCAGAAGAGATGTCCTCAAGAAGATAAAACTTACAGATGGATTATCTATGTGTTTAAGGAGATTTACAAGATAGGAGAGTCTGAGGTTGAACTAGTGATAAATACAAAGAAAACTAAGCAAAGAAAAAAATGAGATCATTATGAACACCAAGGAAAATAAAATATTCTGTAGGAACAAGTAATCATAATACATACATGGCTCGACTACAAATATGTCTATATAACTGTAGTAATGTAAACACTGATCTAATTAAAGTTATGTTATTGCTACTATATTGGGAAGATGAAAGGATGGATATGTGGTGGAAGTGGGGGCGGGGCGTGTGTGTGTGTGTGAGAGAGAGAGAGAGAGAGAAGCTAAATCCTTATCATCTGTCATGAGGAAACATTAGATATTGGTTAGAACAGAAATATCATGAAGTGAAATTACGGGCATATTATTTAAAGAAAGGAAGTTAATAAGAGTTTGCTCAAGGTGTTGAAAGAGATTCTTCTGTGGAGCAGGAAATTGGGAGTTTTGGAGGAAGGATAGGGGCTTTCATAACAAACCATGTAAAACTTCTTGATTAAATTATATACTGGTATAAACACTATGCCTTTTATTTGGCAAGGGGAGAAACTAGAGGCAAGAAACCATTTTTGGTACTTCTTTAAAAACTCAGACAAGGGGCACCTGGGTGGCTCAGTCGTTAAGCGTCTGCCTTCAGCTCAGGTCATGATCCCAGAGTCCTGGGATCCAGCCCCACATCGGGTTCCCTGCTCAGCAGGAAGCCTGCTTCTTCCTCTGCCTCTCCCCCTGCTTGTGTTCCCTCTCTCGCTGTGTCTCTCTCTGTCAAATAAATAAATAAAATCTTAAAAAAAAAAAAACTCAGACAAGATTATAAAGGTTAATTACTATGGGAATAGAAAGGAGAGAGTAGTCTTGAAAGATGTGGTGAGAGCAACCCAACTTTTGTAAATGATTAAATATGAGAAAAGAAGAAAGCAAAGATGTTGTGGAGTTTCTAGCTTGCATGAGGTTAGGTGAAGACTGAGATTGCTTGTAACTGAGATATGGAAAGATAAGATCTTTTTATTTTAATATGTTAGATTTGCTGACCTGTATGATGAATCTGTGTGAGCATGTCTAGTATGGGGTGATAAATTTGAATTAGAAATCAGGAGAGAGATCTGGGCTAGAAATAAAGATTGGAAAAGTTATCTCTTATAGGTGGTAAATGAGATGCGGAAATGAGGGAGATAGTTCAGTGAGATAGTATAATGAAAGAAAAAAGAATGAATATAAACATGAGGACTCCTTGCATTTAAGGGCCAGAATAGGGAAGAGGAATTCACTGGAAAAAAGCAGTCAAAGAGATAGGAAAACATGTGAAAAAGCTCAGGGAGAAGTGAGTTTCTAAAATTGGGAGTTTGGTTCAAGATAAAATGGTGAATTTGCATAGACTACACACTTCATTTCCGGAACTCAGCTCTACAGCTGCCATAGCAACGAGGAGGAAGCCGATAGATTTCAGAAACTTACATAGCAACTGTGAAAACTCCTTGGCCAGAATAGCAGGTCCCACTGGTGTCCGCTACCACATTCCCTTTGCCCATTTCTGATTGCGGTTGCAGCTGTGGTGGGCAGTTCTGTGCAAGTTCAGACTCACCTCATGGTGACAGCTTCTCATCTCAGTCTCATGCTACTCTCATTAGAATTTCTGCCCCTGAAAATTCTGTATGGGGAGCCTGCTCCTTCCAAAAGCATGGTGGAGTTGAACCCATGAGGACAACTCTTAG